CCCCCCCCCCCCCCCCGCCCCCAAGGGTGTATTATCTGCAATAAATCTCATTTGTTGTATTTTTTTAAATTTTAAGCATTGTATATTCATCTCAAGTTCAATTTGGGCTTCTACTGTACTTTTAGTATTCCCTCTATCTTTGTCCTTTCTCTCTGTTTTTCTCTCTCCTCTCAGGATTGAACCTAGGACCTTGAAACATGCTAGTGTCCTACCACAGAGATGGGCTTTCACTCCATATCTCTATCTTTTGTAATACTGGGATAGAACCCCCACTTAACCAGCACTGAACAAGTGGGTTATATACCTAGCCCAGCCAGTTACAGTCATTGCTTTTATATTAATTTTATCAGTTTTTAATTGGCTGATTGATTTTTCTCCTTACTCCAGGTTGTCATACAGATATTCTTAAAAACATTCTTTTGTGCCAGGCGCCGGTGGCTCACGCCTGTAATCCTAGCTACTCAGGAGGCTGAGATCTGAGGATCTCGGTTCAAAGCCAGCCCGGGCGGGAAAGTTCGTGAGACTCTTATCTCCAATAAACTGCTAGAAAACCAGAAGTGGTGCTGTAGCTCAAGCAGTAGAGCGCTGGCCTTGAGCTGAAGAGCACAAGGACAGCGCCCAAGCCCAGAGTTCAAGCCCCAAGACCAACAAAACAAAACAACAAAATAACACATTTTTTTTGTGATTTATTTAGTGGTAAATAGTTTGCTCCTTTTTTTGTTTTAAGTACTTGTATGAAGGAGCTGCCCTTTAACATAGCAGCTTATGAATATAATGCATCTTGATCCGTGCCACTCCTTTCAGCATTCTCATCCCTGCCCGTTGCATCTTCTTTTTACTTTATTAATTTTGTAGACTGTACATCGATTTCTTGACTGCTTTTGCCCCGCCCTCTTCTCTTCCTTTGTCTACTCCTCTCCCCTTAGTCTCACTCCCATCTTGCAAATATCAACTTGGTGCTTATTTTCTTGGTCTTTGGCTTTGTCTTTCTAAGGAATACACTATTTGAATTCTCTCTAGAATCTACCATATTTCAGATAATACTTTCGTAACCACCTAACATGTTTACTTGTTTATAAGCTAATTCTAGCTACCACACTTGCGGAAAGCCATGCAACTTTTGTCTGTCTGGGCCTGACATCAGTTAATATAAATTTTTCTAAGTTTTCCATTTCCTTAAAAAATAGTACCATATCATTCTAATGAATGAATAAAATTCCATTGTGTATATATACCTCATTTTCTAGATCCATTTGACTATTGAGGGGCATCTAGGCTGATTCTATACTTTAGCTATGGTGAATAGTACTGCAGTAAATAATGGTTATGTTGGCGGCTTTATTGTAACCTGGTTTGTGATCTTTTGGATAAATGCCCAGGAGTAGGATTGCTAGGTTATAGGGTAGTTCTATATTTAGTTTAGTTTTTTTTTTTTTTGAGTAAACTCCAAACTGCTTTCCAGAGTGTTGGAAAAGTTTCCACCAGTAGTGGATTAGCGTTCCCTTTTGGCTGCATCCTTGCTAGCATTTGTTATTGTTTGTTTCCTTTATGGCCAGAGATGTTGAACATTTCTTCTTGTGTCTATTGACTATTTTTACTTTTCTGAGAAATCTCTCTTTAAGTGATTAGTCTATTGCTTTTAAGAATTGTTAAGTAGCACCTAAACAAATATTTAGTGTAGAACTAATTTCCACACTGCTGAGGCCAAATCCATCTTAGCATTTTATCTACTGCTCAGGAATTAGGACATTTTCTAGTTTGGCTGATAGGATCAGTAACTCTCCCCATACAACATTGTTTCTTCCACTAAGTCCCTCTACTCTGTGTGTGTGTGTGTGTGTGTGTGTGTGTGTGTGTGTGTGTGTGTGTGTGTGTGTGTGTGTGTGCGCGTGCGCGCGCGCGCGCATGCCTCATGCATGCTTGTGTGTGTGTGTGTGTGTGTGCGTGCGCGCGCATGCCTCATGCATGCTTGTCCTCAAAGCCTCCAGCGCCACTTCGGTTGCGCTCTACCACTTACGTGAGCCATACCTTCTATCTTGCATTTTGTTGGTTTATTGGAGATAGAATCTCTGCAGACTTTTCTTTCCTGGCTGCATTCCAACTTCAGTCTTCCAAAGTCCAGACTTCTTAACAGTAGGATTTTATTTGTGAACCACTGGTGCCCAGCTCACTGATCCCTTTAGACAGTTTCCCAAGCCATTTCTCAACACATCCTTATCTCTGTTGATGAGTACTCTGCTGATTCTCAAGACTTCTGCAGGTCTCTGGAGTTGTGGCTTAGGTTCTTATCTATAAGACTCCATTCTCCAAACTTTTACTATTAACTCTACTTCTTAAATTCAGGGGATTGACTAAGCTCCACTTAGGTTTTCTCTTCTCCGTATTCAGTGTGAAAATTTTCTTAAAATAGTAAGTTAAGCAGGCTCAGACCTGTAATCCTAGCTACTTAGGAGGTTGAGATCTGAGTATCTTGGTTCAAAACCAGCTGGGCAGGAAAGTCTGTGAGACTCTTTTCTGCAACTACCAAAAAGCCAGAAGTGGAGCTGTGGCTCAAGTGGTAGAGTGCTAGCCTTGAGCATAAAAGCTCAGAGATAGTGCTTAGACCCTGAGTTTAAGCTCAAGACTGGCACCAAAACAAAAACGTACTCCTCCCCCCCCCCCAAAAAAAACCCTAAAACCCAAAGCCGTAAGTTAGAACACTTGTAAGGTTCTCATTTGTTTTTCTTCTATGGGGAGCACTGCCTTTTGTTACCCAATTTTTATTAGAGCATTTAAAAAAATAGTATGATTAAATTTTAATTACTTTCTGGCAGGATAGTAAATCTGATCTCTTTCTCTACCTTAGCCAGAAGTAGAGGTCCTGTATGTCTTTGCATAGTAAATATAATAGAACATTGCATTTCCTACTTATTTTGTATCGCTAAATTATATTCTAAAAAATGACATCTTTGTTCTACAGCATATTGCTGCCAAGGTAAATCCCAAGAGGTAAAACATTATTTTTGTTTTCACATGGTTTTCTCGAAACTAACCATCTAATTGTGAAAGGAATTAAAGACCAAGTTTTTAAAAAACACCATTTTGAAAACTACATTATCAGGACATGCTGCATTTGTAAATGTGTATAAATATGTGTTTATAAATTGGATAGTTGTACAAATAACTACTATTTTTATCTTATCATGATATTCATTGTGTATCTACAGATGAAAGCCTCTTCATTCATAGTCCTTTTCAATGTTAATGCAATAATTTCTTGGGAAATTATAATTATTTTGATAAAACTGCAATAATAACTTCTTTACTAAAAGCTGCAACAGTAACTTCTGAACATTGGTAGTGTAGATAATTAGTAGTTAATTTAGCTTCATCATTTAGATTAAAAAATGTTAGAAAAACTATTTTAAAAAACTACCTCATTAGTATTTGCACCAAGGGACTATGTTGAGATCTGAGTTTAAGTTCTGCCAACTATAACTTAAAAATTAAATTCACTTAAAGATATTGTGGGCAAGAGTAAATTTTAAGACTAGAGCTCATTACATAATAGCCTTAATAAAGTTATTATCCGACAGTATGGTAAATACTTTCACAGATACTTTCTTATTTAAATAGAGTTTGGAAGAAAAATCAGCCATTATTTAATCTTCAGGACTGCAAAAGTATGGATATATTTATTCCCAATGGCCAGAAGTCTGTTAGGAGTTTTATTGATTCCAGAATCAAGGTGCCTTTGCCTTTTCCCACTTCTTTTCCAAGGAAGAAAATTCCTTATTTCTTCTTCTGTTTTCAAGGTAGCAAGCAGCCATATAACCTTTTACTATTCCTTAGTTAAAATCTCTCTGTACCTCATCACATCACTCCTTGTGATGACATTTATGGCCCACTTAAATAATGCTGGACAATCTTGTATCACAATTTCAGAATCCTTAATCATTTACTTAAGATTTCTTCTGCCATATAAGATAAAATGTATAGATTCCAGAGATGAGCATGTGGATATGAATATCTTTGGAAGACTGTTGTTTAACATAGTACAAAATTTTATTTATTCATGGGAAAAGAAAATACAGAATATTTCAGAAAGACACATAAAAGCAAATGTGTTAGAAATAAGCAAAATTTGGAAAGAAATGGAGCAAATCGGTGGAAATAATAAAGGTCTTACAGTTTCTTGGTCATTTTCTGACGTTTTATATTAATGGATGGAATTTGTTTTGGTTACAGATAGAAATTAATGAGCTAAAACAGTTTTTATACTGTAGTTCATCTACTTTTGTGAGTCCCCTCCCTATAAAACCGGTGCTTATGGGCTGGGAAGGTGGCTCAGTGGTAGAACGCTTGCTTTGCATGCTCGAGGCCCTGGGTTCGATTCCTCGGCACCACATAAGCAAAAAGAAAAAAGCCGGAAGTGGTGCTGTGGCTCAAGTGGTAGAGTGCTAGCCTTGAGCTGAAGAGCTGAGGGACAGCGCCCAGGCCCAGAGTTCAGGCCCCACGACCGGACCCCCAAACAACAACAACAACAACAACAAAAAACCGGTGCTTAGTAATTTAAACTCATGAATTGAAACACCAGTTTACATAGTTTGATACTGTGATTGTTACTGAATTACTTAGTATTTGATAATTTGTATATGTCCGAAGACATGTTCTCATTAATCTTTTACTTCACCATTTTTGATATTAATGAGGAATTGACCACTTTGCCACAAATTGTGGCACTGCAACTAATAGAACTAGAGGTTTTAGCACAGTTTCTTAAAGGTTTATTAACCCCTAGACCATTGCAACTCTGAATGAGATTATTTGTCTGGTTTTGTTCATTTTTATGCCAATATTTGTGGTTAATTTGTACATTTGGGGAGAAAATTTAGCTGGTACCTCTTTTGTGGCATGTTTAACCATTTGTAGAGCTACTAAATATGGTATAACAAAGTAAGAATGTATCTTCTTTCGTAACTTAAAAGCTAAATGTTTATATTTTCTTCCCTTAACTCTAGGATACCAGAAGGTCCCATTGATCAGGGGCCAGCAACAGGAAGGGTACGTGTTTTAGAAGAGCAGCTTCTTAAGGCCAAAGAACAGATTGAAAATTACAAAAAACAAACCAGAAATGGTGAGTGATTCTGCTGTTTTTTGTTTTTTTTTTCTACTACTCTGTATATTGGATTTAGCACAAGCAATTGAAAATTTTCTTTTACCAAATTGTGGGAAATGCTGATCTTTCTATTTTTTGACTGTAGGTCTGGGGAAAGATCATGAAATCCTTAGAAGGAGAATTGAAAATGGAGCTAAAGAGCTCTGGTTTTTTCTACAGAGTGAATTGAAGAAATTAAAGACTCTAGAAGGGAATGAACTCCAAAGACATACAGATGAATTTCTTTCGGATATAGGGCATCATGAAAGGTACTATTTTCCATGTAATTTCATTGGAGCTTTTGTATACATGGTAATTTGGGAATGGGAAAGGAACTTTAATTTTTTTGCTGAATGGTGAATGACAGGATTTTTAAGAACAGTGGACAACCTGAGGTATCAAAGGATAGCAGTTGCCAAATCAACCAAATTAAATAATGGGAAAACATTATTGAAAATGTTTTTCTAGGAATCTTTATGTGATATAAACTCTAAAGATATTAGTGATATTCAATAGTGTATTAAAGTATTTTCCAGTAAATGTCCTTCATATACAATCAGTAGTTAGAATGTGTGGTTTTGCACTGCAGAATTCCTACAAGGTTCCAGTATTTTTCTGCAGTATATTTCTAATTCAAACACTAAAAATTTTTAAATAATACATCTGAGGATTTCTAATTAAAGGTAAACAAGTTTTGGATAAAGAAGTCTATTTTTTTAAATCACTGTCTGTCTAGTTGATAGAAAGGGGAACCTGAGATCTGCCTACTTAAATTTCTTTCTCCTATTTACACATCTCTAAAGAATATGTAGTTTATCATCCATAGAAAAGAAAATGTTATAGTGCTGCTGTGTTCATGCAAAATAAAATACCCGAGAATCATTATAAATACAGTGAAACCTATTCTTTGGCCTGTTATATTTAAAGTCTTAAGTTCTCAGTAGGATTCTTATAGCAATTTCTGTCTCATTAGTGAACAATAAAAGAAAAATTGTTATATTAGCACAGCCTACTACTGGGAAAAGGAAACAAATTGCTCATACAAACAAGAGTTTCATAGATATTAACATCATCAATGATATGATTTTGAAAAATTGCTCCGTTGTTTTAAGTGAAGTTACAAACAAAACTCAGTGGATTGGATCATATTTTAATGTTAATGGTTCTACAGAATTATAGTAACATACTATTAAAGGGCCACTGAGTTATTAGGTTCAACATTAGGCTGTCCTTTGAAATTTTTAGCCCCTCTGGCATCAGGCTGTATTAGGCCATATGTTGACCAAGTATATCCTTAGTGCATTATTCTAAAGTTACATTGATTCCAGGCACCAAACTGCCATTAGCTGGAGCTTTATGCCTGTATGCGTTGCTTATTTTAGTTTTGTAGAAAAATGAAGATTTTCAAATAATCTGATACAGTATTTGTATGTAGTATGTAAAAAAGATTTACTGATTTCTGATGGTATCTTTAAGGATTTTTTTATGAAACAATATAATTTTGAAATTAAATTTTTGAAATTAAATTTTAAAACTTATTTTCTAAATATAGTTTGTATGTGTGCTTTGTACAAATTAAAAATGAACATAATAAATGGCTTATGAGAAATGGATATAAATCATTGTTACATTTTGTTGTTTGTTGGATTATGCCATTTAGTGTATGTTAAATAATAATATTTCACTGAAAACAAAATGGAAATTACAGGTAGCTGTGTCAGCTGCTTAAATATAAATTATAATGAATCTGGGATACAACATAGGGTAATAATTTAACTCCACAAGGCCAGATTACAATGTAGTAATGTAAGTAATGAGCAAACATAAGCAAGTATTAGAGAAATAACCCTTTAAGTAGTGAATGTACAAAACAGAAGGATTTGAAGTGAATAGAAAATATTCTTATACTGGCCATTTCCAAGATTCTTGAGAAAAGGAATTAAAATATACTTTTATGTTTCTGTCTGCTGATTTGTTTGTATATGTATGTGTATGTGTTATATGTAACAGAATTTGTCATCACACTTGATCTGCTAACACTCTTACCAGTTGAGCCACACCTCCAGCTCTGCTTTTTGCTGCTTATTTTGGAGACACAGTTTCACAGGCTTTTCTATCCAGCTGGTTTTGAATCATGATCCTCCTGATTTCAACCTCCTGAGTAGCTAGGATTACAGGCATGAGCCTCAAGCATGTGGCTGCTGATTTTTTGTGTAGACAAAAGTGTATTATTATTAAACTTCAGTATTTTCATTTATTTCAAAAGTATTAGATATATAAAAATAGATAAAAGAGTTACTACATGCCCCACAATTTCCCCATTTATTTATGTTTCACATTACTATTGTACATGTGTTACCTATTTTTATTTTTACATTTGCCCAAATTATAGTGTGCAAATTGTCTCTCTTAAACATTAAGATATTCTGAAAAAGAACTATTTATTTTTTGGTTTACAGAGATGCTGACTACAGGGAAAATTATTTAGGACTTTTATTTCTTCTGAAGGGTTTCTTTCTTAGGATTATTAGTTTTTTGTTTTCATTTTTCTAGCTTTATTGGAATGGGCTAGGGATGTCATAGAACACTTGCTTAGCATGGTCAAGGTTCTGGATTTGATCTCCAGCACTGCCCTGTTAGTATAGTACCAATTTCTAGGTAACGAAAGGGAGGGGAAGGAGAGAGGGAAGAAGAAAGAAAGGGAAGAAAGGGGAGAAAATGGAGAAGGAAAGGAAGGAAGAAAAAAGAGAAAGAAAAGAAAGGAAAGAAAAAACCCATCAATATGTTGGACATAAAAGAAAAACAAATCAAAATGACACAGATTTCATTTCACTGTACTCAGAATGGCCATCATCAAGAACACAAACCATAACAACTGCTGATGAAAAAAATGTGGGAAAAGAATTTATGTTTCTATGATGACAAATATGACTTTCCCATTGGTTACCATTTGCTCTGTTACTAAATGTTTTAGTATTTAGTTGAGAAACAGGAATTAAAAAAAATGACCAACACTATTGTTATTTCCTCCTAGGTATGTTCAGGGCTACTCTTATCATCTATTGACTGAGTACTTCTGATCAGGCCCCTCCTTTGGGGTCTTAGAGGAAAATAGATATTGGATTGTTTTATGACTGGCTATGCAGTTATCACATATTACAGTAATCTAACACAAGTAGCTCCTTCTTCTGAGTTGTAGAATTATTGATCTATTCTTTCCAGACAGAAGGTAAAAGCTCTGAAACAACTTTTTCAGGGCATTTGGCATTAAAAAAAAAAAAAAAGAAGGACTTACCACTTATTACATATCTTGCTACTTCATACTTATTGTTACATATGTATTGCATGCATTATTTTAATTTGGTGATGTTTATTTTAAGATGAAATAACTAAATCTCAGAGATAGCAAAATTACTTTGCTAAGATACAAAGAAGTAAGTGGCATATCTAAAATTGAGAATTAGTTCTCTCTGGTTCTTTGATCTTTCTTGCCTAATTTCAGACTTGAAGAAAAATGAGTATATTTTTTTCTAGAGTAAAAACTTACTATTAAATTAAATCTCAGATGCCAGAGACTAAAGTTTAATTGCCTTGATAGAAAATAAAAGATGAGTACCACATCAATTTAAGCATCAATCTTCATGATTATGAAGAATTTTGATCTCTTCTAAAGACTGTATAATCTACTGACAAAGTATGAATAAGATGGTCCTGCAACTTTGTTTGCATTTATAGGTCTATAATGACGGATCTATACTACCTCAGTCAAACAGATGGAGCAGGTGATTGGCGGGAAAAAGAGGCCAAAGATCTCACAGAGTTGGTCCAGCGGAGAATAACTTATCTCCAGGTAAGGTTGAATTAGAATGTAATTTCTAAGTGGAACAAGAAGAAAAATCATAACAATATACAAAGTATGAATTATTGTTTGCTTGTAGTTTTTCTAGTACTTGCCTTTTAACATTATTCTCATTTTACATATATGCCTTGAGTGAAATATAAAGATGACTAAAACAAGGTCCTGGCCCTAAAAGAGTTGCTTCTTATACACACATACACAAAATCTATAATTATGAACATGGCTATTTTTCAGGAGAGAAGTATATGAGATATTTATAGCATTTTGAGGAAGGAGACCTTCAGGGCAATTTTGTGGAGGTTGTATTTGATTCTAACTGTAAAGGGTAATTTTAAGACCTGGACACACATAAATGGAGGAAAAGACTAGCTGGAAAAGATGATGGGAGCAGTGGATCATAAGAGGGAAAGAGCAGTACAGGAACCCAGAGGTTTTTCAGGTTGTCTAGAATATTAACCACCAGAAAACCGGAAGTGGTGCTGTGGCTCAAGTAGTAGGTAGAGTGCTAGCCTTGAGCTGAAGAGCTGAGGGACAGCGCCCAGTCCCAGAGTTCAGGCCCCCCAACTGACAAAAATAAAAAAGAAATTAGATGACAGTGGTTAAGCATGATAGTGCATAGCAGTGAATGGTCACTGGAAATTTTGTTTCCTAAATACCATTATAGCAACATATAGGAAATACTAGTAAACTCATTTCTAGCCTTTAAATCAAATTTTATTTTTTAAATCCTTATTAATTTTATCTTTCATATATGTAAAGAAATTATCATTTTTTTTTATTTAGTTTTTTGGTCATGGGGCTTGAACTCTGGGCCTGGGTACTGTCCCTCAGCTCTTCAGCTCAAGGCTAGCACTCTATCACTTGAGCCATAGTGCCACTTCTGGTTTTCTGGTGGTTTATTGGAGATAAGAGTCTCAAGGACTTTCCTGCCCGGGCTGGCTTTGAACCTTGATCCTCAGATCTCAGCCTCCTGAGTAGCTAGGATTACAGGTGTGAGCCACTGGCACCCAGCTTTCATTTTTTAAAATGGTTTCTAATTTTAATTTTTTGTTAATTTATTGTTACTATAGAGGTGATATACAGAGGCACTACAATTACATGAGTCCAGTGAAAAGTACATTTTCTTTTGTGCAGTGTATAGCTATTATAAGCCTGGAGATTATTTAAGATAAAAGGATCATAGTACAAGGAAGAAGTGACATTTTGCCTAGGATGTGGAGAGGAGACTTGAGAAAGAGATTAGGAAAATAGAATTGATAGACTCTTCCAAATAGGTTCAGGAGCTGAAATTCCAGTAATGGGATCACTGACTGACAAGGAACTAAGAGACTGAATTTGTAGAATTCGTAGAATTCTTGGAAACTGAAAAATGCTGAAAGTTGAAAATACTCAACTCCATCCTTTCCTATTGCATCTGATGGCATAATTTCTGTGTACTGACACTCTGCTTTCCATTTAAGACTGGAGGCAAAATATCAATTAATCACATTTCTGTATATTTTAAGGTACATATTTTTCTACATGTAAGTAGGGAAAAAATAGCAAATCAGGTTTAAAAACAACTTGATCATGGTATACTGTTTCGGTCTCATAATCTCATAACCGTTCGTCAGTGGAATCTATAGAATAAGAAATACTTTACCTCCTGTAGGGAAGAGATAATTATGTCTTACCAACTGGGTCCTTATTCAATGAACTATGAATGGCTGGTGGTGCAGAACCATTTTCTTTATTTAAAGTGGAAATAATAATGGCTTCCCAGCATCTTCTATTTCCACATATTCGTTTACTTTTATATCCACTATTTTTAAACTATTATCTGGTCATGGTTCAGTTCTCTATACTGTGGACCTGCCAGCTGCTTTTGCTTCTTCTTTTTTTCTTTCTCTTAGGTTTTAGTTTTTATCTTAATTTTCAGTATTGAGGAATTTCACTTGTAAATCATACTCGTAATTTATAATTACATTGGTATTTTAAAATAATCTTTTATAATACAACTTGGCATTTTTCTTGGACTTTTACTTAAATTTCTGTGTTTAACAAATTCTTTTATGTAACTGGAGCCCCTCTGTACATCACCTTTACAGTAACAATAAAACATACCTTACAAAAAGTTATTTTACATTTTCTCATATTTTTCCATGAAAAGTGAGTGTTTAATATTCAAGGAGATGCAAACAATCTCAGTAAAAAAAAAAAACAACCATAAGTTGGGTAAATTTTTTTTCAACTTTTTAATATATGATTCTTTTCATCTAGACTAAAAGCTCCTTGAAATATTTTCCACTTTTGCTTGTGTGTTTTAACTTCAAATTGTGCTACTTTCTCATTGTGTATCCTTGAATTCATTATTTTTGAAAGATTTCTATAGTAAAAATAATTTAATTTCATAGTGAATAATTCATTTATACAAATTTAAATTATGTTAAATATAATTACCTCCTCCTTTGATTTTCCCCAACCATCACTTCCCTCCCCAACTCCTCCCTCCTCCCCTCCTCGTAACACCCCCCCCACACACGGCTACATTGTAAAGTTCATTTTCAACATAGTGTCCTGTATATCTCATCATCACAAATGGGTCTGCCTGCATCACCATTTAAGCATTCCACTATAACAAATGTATATACAAGATGCAGAACACCAGAATCAAATACACTGAAAACAGGGGTTATACCATTGGGGAAGAACTTACAAAAGAAAAAGATACAGAATACTGGAATCAAATACAGTGAAAACAGGGGTTATACCATGGGGAAAGAACTTACAAAAGAAACAAAAATCACATAGTACATGAACTCAGGAACTATATTTTTAACATTATTAGTAGGGATTACAAATTAATCACCCACTATTTCTTCCTCTTATCTGTATAGAGATGAAAACAGTCATTCTTTTCCATTCCAACAAAATTAAACATATATGTAGTTAGGAATACTGATTCTAATAGATAATGTTCTATTTGGAAGTTTTTACCTGTAGTACAATTTGAGACACAGCTGCTTTAAAAAAGAATTAATTTGTCAAATAATGAGATATTTGGGGAATAGGATCCTTGTCTAAACATAGAATTAATTTGTGTTCCATTTATACCATATCCTAAAGGCAGTTTTATACAGTTTAATTTAGAATCTGAGAGATAGCAGTAACATTTGGAATATGAGTATAAACTAGGAAATAATATTTTTTAAAGAGTTTAAAGACCCTGAGTACTAGTGGTTTATACCATAATCCTACCTACTTAGGAGGCTAAGATCTAGAGGATCACAATTCAATACTACTTAGTAGAAAACTTGACTAAAGTTTATTTTCAAAACTAGTAAAAGGCAGAGATGTGGCTTAAGTGGTATGCTGTCAGCCTAGCAAATATTTTGCCCCAAGTTCAAACCCCAGTACTGCTATGAGTTAAAAAGAGATAGAATAAATGAAGAAGTCTTTGTTTGATATCTATACAAAATTAAGCAATTCATAAACTTACTATTGAAAATTTTGTAACTGCTTTCCTTGTTTAGTCCATTAACTGGTTTGGCTAAGAATTATAGATGCCTGGTATATTGAATACTTACAGATTATTTTCCCCATAGAATGAAATGATTTTAATTAATCAAGAAACTTATTTAGAAATTGTATTGAGCCTTAAAATCTAGCTACACTGCGCATTTTTCTCTAACTTTTAGACCCACATCACAGACATAAATATTGTAAGTATTATTTGATATTAAAATTGTGGCTATGATTTTGTAATACTTTTTTCTGTCTCAAGCTTACTGCTCATAAAGCCATTGCTCTACTCTTTTTCTGTTGATCATGATAATATTATTACTGTGAGAAGTTGTTCAGATGAATGAGTTTATCTTGGCAATATACTTATAGATCATTTGAAATTACACTAGTGATTTAAAAGATCATAATAATTTGTATCTGTGTACAAAATAATAGGAAAAGAGAACATTAAAAGCAAATGTTTTTAATATTTATGTCTAATTGGCAAGGTTTTACCACTTAAATATCTGTATTCTTGATAAATAATTCACATAATTTTATGTTACTTTCATTGATTATTTTGGAACTACTGATGCAGTTGAAAACTTTGAGTTTCACTAGTTTTTTAATAGCATTAATAATATTTATTGTTGTTTCTCATTAACAATGAGGAAAGGAGGGAAGTGCATCGAAGGGGAGGGGACAGAGGAAGAGAAGACTCTAAGACAAAAATTGGAAAACAGTCCCTTTTTTTCATTTAGTAAAATAGGTATTTTTTTTAATACTCAACTATATTTTGTCCCAAATTCTTTCTCTTTTTCTCCTTCCTTCCTTCCTTCCTTTCTCCCTTCCTTCCTTCCTTCCTTCCTTCCTTCCTTCCTTCCTTCCTTCCTTCCTTCCTTCCTTCCTTCCTTCCTTCCTTCTTTCTTCCCTCCCTCCCTCCCTCCCTCCCTCCCTTCCTCCCTCCCTTCCTCTCTCCCTCTTTCCCTTCCTCTCTCCCTCCCTCCCTTTCTCCTCCCTCCCTCTCTTCCCAACACTGAGGCTTGACTCAGGGCCTAGGCACTGTCCCCGACGTTTTTTGCTCACAACCAGTGATCTACAAGCCACAGCTCCACTTCTGGTTTTTAGATGGTTAATTGGCAATAAGAGTCCCAAAGACTTTATTTCCCAGGCTGGCATTGGACCATGATCCTCAGATCTCAGCCTCCTGAGTATCTAGGATTATAGATGTGAGCGATGGTGCCCACCAGAAACTCACTTCTTATATATGACTTAGATTCAAGTAAAATAATGGAATGATGTACTATTCAAACAATAATCAAAAGGACAAAGGAATATATAGCAATGATAGCATGATCAACTTATAAATGTTTAATTCTATGTGTGCTTAATAAGAGAACTTCAAAACACATGAAATAAAATCTGTAAGATCTGAAAAGAGAATAGCAAAATACAGTTGAAGACTTTATCATTGCTGTCAGTGATTGATAGAAGTACCAGACAGAAAA